ACGTGGTTATCCTCTGCTGCTCTCCTTACTTTGACTATATTAATTCTTTGACCATGAAATTATCATTTTAATGTATTCATGTTCAGTATCAATGAGATGCTGATTTTCAGTCATCATCATATCATGTTCAATCAAACTCTCTTTTAATCATTATTCATTATATTGCATAGCATTGTTAAGCTCTGTGTTTTGCAGATGGAAGTATGTTACACTTCCCTTTTCCTCACTGTTGTTACTAAAGGGAGAATGGCTGCAGCTTTCTTCTATGCGACCTGATAGTAACAGCGTTGGGATCTCAGCTTACTTGACAGTATGTGAGAGCCCCCTTTGAGCAAACAGCTGAGTGTAATCCAGCTCATCCTTGATTTTTTTCATCATAGCAACTTTTTGGAGGTTTTGGAGACAGTTTGTTCTTCTGGACAGTGTAGAGACGGACACCATTATGGTGTTTGAATAATAAAGTGTGGTCTTTAGATCCACAGGGAACCAGCTTGGTGTGTTTGTGATTCCTTCACCTCCTTTGGTTGTGGGGCAAGGGGTATTATTGAATGAGGCTGTTCACTACAACCACCAAAGTGATGGAGCTCAGTGTTGTCCTCTCATCTTGGCATTTGTCCTCTGGTGGCCTACAGAGAGATGGCAAAAAATGGCTTTAAGGGCGACTCCACTAGTTGCAAAAAGAAGTCTGATTACATTGCACTCAGTGACAAAATTCTTCTACTTCTCACTTGATTTATTACCTCAGTAAACATTTTCCTAGTGAGTTTCTGGTTTCAGTCGCTAGTTTCAAGTCTTCTTCAATACAGTATGATGTTCATTTAGTGAAATATGGTCCCATTTAGAGTAAAATAGATAATTAAGCAGTGGATGAACAAGTCGCTAGCATGCTGACCTGTAAAGAGTAGGGGGTTAATTTCTTCCGGTTGTTTTGAGCAAAAATTAAGCATCACAATTAATATCACAGACATAAATTGTGGATGCACCATGCTAACCAAGCTAGCTAGCGCCACCCTCTCGCCCGAATATGGTCATTAATGGTTCCAAAAACCCTGAAACAGATTTACAATCATTACATCAGTTCATATAAGAGCAGGTGTGCAGCAGTTTGCTTTTGAAGATTAATTTGTTCGGTTTTAAAAAAAAAAATCTGCATGCTTTGTATTTTCAACTGAGAGGAAAAATATTTAGAAATCACAAGTCCTAATTTGATTCATCTGATTTGACTGGCTGTATAAGATATGTATATCTCCAAAGGAGAACACAGGACATTTTATTCACGGGCAACAGAAGAGGAAGGCCACATGTGAAAAGTGTCTTTGAGCTCTGAGTCTAAGTCTAAATTCTGAGATAGACTCAGAGCTCAAATACATTTTTCACATGTGGCCCTAATACTCATCTGTATAGAGCAAATAGCGAAAAAAAAGCAAGTTCATTTCAGTTGGAATTGATGCTATAAATCTTGTTTTTGCTGACTTTTAGCGTTTGAGTTCCTCACAAAGTTGCTCTCCTTATCCTCTGTCTTGTGTGTCATGGACAAAAAATTAAAACATCGTTAGACTGCTGGTTTTCTGGATGGAAGTGAAGACTTGGTGTCTCATTATCACTGAATATATTTTCATGCAGTCAAATAATTGTATAATAATTGTTCTGTATTGTATGTTCTCAAATAAGCAGATAATCTATAAACCAAAACTAAATTGTGTTGTATTGTCCTGTTGAAATGCACTCAACTTATCTGCACTCCGGCAATCAAACTTTTATGAACTTTATACGTAGTTACTGTTTCCATGTCCCTTATCCATTAGATTAGTCTGTAAGATAAATACAGTAGTACTTTCTAGCCTTTCAGTGTCACATTTCCCTATTGGGCCCAGATTGTCTAAGAAGTTACCTGAGACAGTGAGATGGAGTGGCTGGCTCTCAGAAGAAAAGTTATGGGAGAAAACATAGATGTGATAAACACAGCTGTAGTTCCCTTGGTGGGTGTGGTCTGCAGCAGAGAACAGGAAATGGGCAGTGTGATTGACAGCTGGCAGGGTGTAGTTCTGTGTTGTGTTGGAGTTGGTGAAGATAAGCTGGAAGGAGCCTCCTGGATACTGTGGCAGGATGGAGCAGCTGATGGTGAAGTTGGAGCCCATGAGCACCTGAAGCCCCTGCTGCTTGGCCTCAGAATCCCCGTCAGTGTAGGCAGAGAAGGAGATGTTTGGCTGAGCCAGAATATCTGCGAACACGGTGGGAGATGAAACATTTAGTCTGCATTTTAAGAAATAAAATTCCTCATCTTCATTTGTTTTGTCAAAGCAACACTGAACACAGTATGATGACAAGATTTGTTTATTAGCAGGAGATTGATAATGGATAATTAAATCTTATTCAGATGACTTAGTTTAAAAATGAACAGGCAGGTAAGAGATAAGGATTCCTGTGTTTTCATTGATGCCGTTACCTGAGCAGATGACTGTCAGGCTATGCACTGACAAATGAGTCCGGTGCGATATGAATGCACACTCTCTGATTGCAGACTCAGACGGACCACAGGCAGATACAATTATCCATGCTTTGCGGTTTCCTAAATCATCTCTTCTTCCTGTTGAAAGAGCAGAGCCACAGTCCAGCTGCCTACACACTAAAGCTGCAGACACCAGGTCCCAGTTAAAGGTGGAATCAGCCACTGGTCTCCACTCTCCCTTCCGTTTCATCTGTAGTCTACCGACACAGCGGCTGGCTCCTCCAACCAACCAGACGTCATCAGGCTCTGAACAGATACAAGAGAGTAATTAGCTAAAGAAGTAAAGTAACTTGCATTACAACAGAGATTGCAATAAATCAAAGCAGCAGATCTTCTCCTACCTGAACATGTGAGTTCAACAGATTTGCCAGATGAGCAGGTGTCTCTAGCTGAGCCTGAGCTTCCACAGTCCAGGAGAGCAGACTCATGGCCTCCACACTGGAACTCTTTTGACCACACTGGGGGCTCCACCTCTCCATACAGCGCCCCCTGGAGGACTGAAGGAGCCCCACAGCCAAGCTCCCTGCAGACCACCTCTGCATCCTGCTGGTCAAAGTCATCTTCACACACTGAGGACCACAAATGGTTAGACTTCACCTCCAGTCTGCCGGAACATGGACTAGTCCTATTAACCAGCCTGACAGATCCTGAAGAAAGATGAAGAGAGACAGAATTAGAATTTTAAATAAAAACAAAGATATGTTTATTGCATCATCTCTCATCTATCTACAAAAACTCCTTGTTTTGATGTGTCGGATGAAAGGAAAATATCTCTTTCTAACTTGTGTTACTGCATTGGGGAAGGCTGTAGGAGCATTTCTTGATGACCTATGTTTGGATCTCAAGAGCCAACCACGGGAGTAGTCAGACTCATCACTGCAAAATAAAATAATTTTAACTTTTTACCCATTCTTTCAGCTACAGGCCACTCCTGCCGGGATAATTCAACCATATGTATTCTGTAGTCAGTCAGTGTAGGTAACCTTTAATAAAATAACTTCTTGGTTTGTTTGATTAAATTGTCCCTTTATCCTGACAGTAGTAAATTAGACATAAAATAAAATATCAGGCTACTTAAGAATCCACCGCTCCCTGGTCAAAACAACCAATCAGAGACTCAGTCTCTACCACAGTGTCTGTACTGTCCCCCAATAAGAGGAGCAGCTGATTTGACTGCCAATCTCACTGTCGAATGCATGCGCAACTCCGCACAAGACCAATGTAGGAGGCAAAATAGTATTTTTTGGGGGCAGTGGCTATAATAATGAAACAGAATAGCCACTACAACCGGTCAACGGCAGGCGAGCAGAGCAACAGCACGCCTCAATATAGCTGCAAATGTACAGTGTAAGTCTCAGTGACTGACTGAATAGAGACTGCAGCTCTGCAGCTTCCCAAGATTAACACATGATGAGACTTGACAATTCTGATTTGACTATGTAAATCTTTAGTCGGGGACACCCCTAGCTGTTTGTCTAACTGACTCTCTGTTCTCCTACCATTGCTATGCTGATGATACCCACCTATATCTGTCCTTCCCACCACACAACCCCACTGTCTTGACTGAACTATTGGTGATAACAGATGGGCCTTCTGTTGTGTATAACATCTTAAATGTCAGGTTTTATGTGACAGAGTATGCTACTCAACTGCGTGTAAAGGTCATCTCACACCTTGACTACTGTAATGCCCTCCTGACAGGGCTTCTCACGTGCACAGTAAATGAAATCAAATGGTCCAAAACGTGCAGGTATCTTTTGTCTTCAAATAGCCAAAACATTTCACTACTGTATACTGACTCCATGTTGTTGCTCATATTAAGTTCAAGTCACAAATTCTTGCCTATAGAGTGACCACTACTGGAACTCTCTTATTCAGGTTTATAAGCCTTCTCATTCTCTACACTAAGCTAGTGAACAAATAAGAAAGGAAGAAAAGACTAAGAAAGATTATTGTTATAGTTGAGGTATTTCTGGAGTTACCTGAGCACTTGATCTCCAGGTTGGAAAGTGAAAGGCCAAGCGATGTAAACACACATTCCCTAACTGAAGACACGGACCGAAGACAAGTTGATCTAATTCGCCATATTGTTTTGTAATACCTAATCATTATCTTCCCTGTATAAACAGCAGAGCCACAGTCCAGTTGTTCACACACAACATCTGCTGTCTTTAGATTCCAGTCAGATGTTTGGTCGTCCACCTTTTTCCACCGTCCCTGTTGTTTGACCTCCAGTTCACCAGCACATTGACTGGATCCTCTCACCAACCGAACATTATTGGGCTCTGGGCAGACGAGTAATTATTAAAAATAGATGAAGTCACATTTATTAAATAGAAAATCAGTCCAAAACAAAGCTGCAGCTCCTCTCCTACCTGAGCAGGTGAGTTCAACAGCTTTGCCAGATGAGCAGGTGTCTCTAGCTGAGCCTGAGCTGTCAATCTGACAATCCAGGAGAGCAGACTCATTGCCTTTACACTGGAACTCTTTGGTCCTCATGGGCCCCTCTACTCCTGCATAGAGCGCCCCCTGGAGGACTGACTGAAGGAGCCCCACAGCCAAGCTCCCTACAGACCACCTCTGCATCCAACTGGTTAAAGTCATCTTCACACACTGAGGACCACGACTGGTTAGACTTCACCTCCAGTCTGCCTGAACACAGACTAGTCCCATTAACCAGCCTGACAGAGTCTGAAGAGGAAGAGAGCGAGAGACACAGAAAGACAGACTAGAGTTTATAGGGCATGGCAAAATAAAACATTACAATATAATGAAGTGGTCCTACAGTGTATGCCAGTCATAATGCCAGTCAGTCCTTGATTGTCTGTGCATGTTTTTGAGCACTCTTCCTCTGTTAATGCAGTTTTTCAGCATTTTCCAGATAATTCAGACTTTGTCTCTTACCATTTCACATCTGTTGTGTCAACTTGAAAGACGTCATAGTTTACCTCAAACTGAGTGCTTTTTGGGATGCACAATTTGGGGGAATACGTCTGACACTTTTTTGTAACTTGTTCCAATGTAACTTGTAGTTCTAATGCTGTAACTAACAATGACGCATGGATTGGCCAGGTGTACAGAGGTGAGAAAGAAGGCAAGCTCTGACATGTCTCTCAAGCTCTCTTTGTTAGTTCCTTATGCCACTACTTCTGTTTTTCTTATTCCTGTTCAGATTCAAGATTCAGCATATCCCGCCCAGCTTTCCACCCCAGCATCAAGTGACCATTTAGAACAGACATGAGTTCCCTTAGTGGCCAAACAACACTGTAAATTTCAAACATACCAGCCTTAATATAGGTCTAAGCAGTTCATATAGACTTCACCATATAGGACAACCTGCAGAGGTACAAGGTCATTTTGACAGTCTGAACTGCTACAGCAGTCACAAACACAACAAAATTATGTAACGTGGCAAGGTGAAAAGACTGGCTAATGATTCTAAACCAGGACATCACAAAAAATATTAAAAATATTCACTGATAGCCTGTGATGAATAATTTCTTCTTCAAACAAAGTCATCAAACTCAAGCAAGCTTATTTCCACATGTAGATCACTGTGTGCACCGTGGGTTTAAACTTTTTAGAACCGTGAACCAGCTCGTATTCTATGGGATTCTCAGGCCAAACGAAGCGGATCACTAGGCGGACATTTGAATATCCGAAGCGCAATTCCTAAAAGTGAACAACTACAACATTTTCTTTACGAATCAAATTTGGACTTTTTATGCCTATCAGAGACATAGTTGCATGAAAACTCTGGTCGGGGTGGAGGTGTGTTATTTTATGTCAAGGATAATATAAGTTGTAAGCAAATTCAATGGTCCTGTGTTAATGACTTAGAATGTATCGGTCTTGAATGAACTCTCTCAGCCCAAATGTAATTCACTGTGATTGTAATACATAGACCATCATCTGCAGAAAACGTGTTCTATGATAAGTTGAATATCCGTCTTAAAGAGTTTGATACTAACAATGAGATAATTTTATTAGGAGATTTTAATATAAACTGGAATGATAAAGCAAAAAGGAAAGAGATAAAACATGTAATAAGTAATTTTGCCGACTAGGATTACCAGTTCCTCAGAAACACTCATTGATCTGGTCTTTACTAACAGACCAGAAAGAATAAAGAAATCATATAATCTGGTTACAGGTTTATCTGACCACAATATGATTTTGATTCTAAGAAAACTCACAAAACGGAGATTTAATTTATCAGCAAACATTATAAAGTTCCTAATGGACAATTAACTAATCTTGGAAATCCAATTAAAAAAATAAATTGGAATGAGCAACATGTAAATACAAATTTAGATCATAACTGTAATAGATTGATGTGTGAACTTCAAACAACTATACAAAGTTTTATGAGGAAAGTGAAATACAAACCAGGCAAAAGAAATTATTTACCGTGGTTGAATGAAAACATAAGGACACTCATGAAACAAAGGGACCAGGCTCTTAAGATGGCTCTCAGGAACAAAGTGGAACATGAGAAGCGTCTATTTATCTCACTGAGAAATAAAGTCGTAAAAGAGCCTAGAAAGGCAAAAGCGATATTCTTTATATGCTAGAAGTGAAGCAAAGGGGAATAGTAAAGAAATCTGTCAGAATCTAAAGAATTAACTGGGAAATCCAATACCGTTAATAAAAAAATCGAATTAAATGTAGAAGGAAACGTGATCCATGATTCAAGTAAAGTGGCAACAGCATTTAATGCTTATTTCATTGATTCTATAAAAACTTTAACTCAGAATTCCTGTGAATTGAAATATTCTGTCACTTCTCTAAATACTAATGCTCCCATTTTAACTTTTAGAGAAGTGACAAATACCAAAGAGTGCACAATTATTTCCTCTTTAAATTGTTCAAGGGCAAAGGATACATATGGAATGGACACAATATTTATTCAAATATTATAATATACACCAGTGTATAAATCAGTTGATCTTATGACTATTAGTAATTATAGACC